GCGTTTAACAATTTGTATGTTTTCCCTGAGAAACACTGTTTGCATTTAAATGTAATTTCCTTCCCATCTCATATTTTTTTCCATCACCATGTCCCCTTAGGGGCTCATTATAAAGCAAATTTATAGTTTAAAAAATGTTTCATTTAAAAATAAATAAATAAATAAAGTGTTCTATTTGATCCATAAACAAATAAACAAACAAAAAACAATTATGCTTATGCAGATTTTTTTTTAAATTCATGAATCAAATTTAAAAATATTTGATACATAATATTTTAAATATATATATATTATATATATATATATATATTTATAATCCATGTGTTTGTGTGTGTTTTAGCACCATGACGTTTCAAGCCCTTTAAAATAGTTTATTAAAGTTCTCCTGGTGTAACAGGCTATTTTATTTCCTCCTAAAACACTACATGGAAACAACAACAAACAAATAAATAAATAAAAACACTACAGTGCTTTACACACTTGTAGTACTGCAACAAATAGCTTGGCATAAGATGTGCAAAGTGGAACCATATTGACTTCTCCAGTCACAATTGGCTTTACAGTGACTGGAGAAATTTACACTTGTGAAATTTACATGAATTAGCTGTACTGTATCTGTAAGATGTGCAAAATCCATTTACTAATAGCAGAACAATACAAAAGTGGTTATAAACTATATAAAATATTATAAATAGCCAATTATGACTGAAATACATGAGAAATGGGACAAGCTGCGTCCCAAAGTTCTTTAATATTTAGAGAAAAAAACGCTAAAAAAAAACCACATTTTCCTTTAGGTGAGACCTGTTGTACCCTAATAATGAAGTCATGAAATTTTAATGCCTGCAATGTCGGTTACATTTTACCCAAAGATCCCAAGTGAATGAAGTTTCCTAGGAGAACAGGAAAATAACAGTTTGCTATACATACAGTAGACGCTATAACATGACACTGAAACAGCATCATCCTCTTGGCATTAATAGTATAATTTAGTTCACTTGAGTGTACTGAAAGGGAAGTTCACTAAAAAAATTGACAAAAATATCTTTGAGCGGGGAAATGTAATTTGTAGCGAATATCATTAAGTTTTGAGAAAATGAAAATGGCAATTTCTCCGACCGTCACTGTTAAAGTTGCTGTTTAATTCTAAGTTGCTCTTAAAAGGCTTATAGAGCAGCTCTAGTGTAAGTGACAGGAAATGAGAACAGCGGTCTGAATGTAATGTGATAAAACCTTAGCCATCGCTCCATAGTGGCAACAATAAACCACTGCTGAATCATATTGCTAATATATAACAAAGCGCACCGTGCAATATATCATCGGCCGGCATCCACAGGTGCATGTTATATATACGCTAAGACACATTCACATTCTTGTGTCATTTTGAATGCACAGTGCCAGCCATCTGTGCTGACGGGATAAAACTATGAATTGTTCAAGTGGTCATACTTCTCACAAACAGAGCTGGCAGCCCAGTAAACATTAGACAGAATAATACATTACAGCATTAAAGCGATTGAAGGCTGAGCATCCCTCCAGTCACATCCATAGAAATAATGTCAGAGCTTGCGGCAAGAACGCTCACTCTCCCTGTCTTTCTGTCTATCTTCCTCCCCTAAACCCCAACCCATATCCTGCCTTTCCCTCTCTCGCAGAACGCATGGATCGGAAAGCTTATGTCGGGTGTAACTGGCACTAAATTATGCCCACTAGGAAAATTAGGTACCACCAACACATTAATTAAATTAGATAAATTCATGACAAAATTCCAACCTGACCTTTCATCAATGTGTTCTTTTCTCGCTTGAATGTTATAACGCAACGTAAATGTGTTTCTAACTCCAACATTCAATCACTGCGTTTCTTTGAAGAAAGGGGGTGTAAAAATAACCCAGTTTCCCCTGAAGCTATGAAATCTTGGCTGAAAGGTCGAGTAGAACTGGAAAAAAGCATTACCAACATATGGCCATGCATAAATAAAGAACAAGCATTAATCCCAATAGCAACCGAGACCATAAAACGTCTGTTTTCACAATGTACAACGCTGTTATCAGAGTATTACTTCAACATTTACTTGTTAAGATGAACAAAACATCTATAAATACTTAAAACGTCCTTGAATATTTACTCAAACCGCAGGATACGGGATCCTGCGGAGAGATAGGCCAGCTACACATGTACATTGCATTTGAAATGTAATGAAATACCTCTGAAAACGTCGATCTGCATATCTTAGATTACTATAGGAGTGATTCGTATGGAGAACGCTTCATAGGAGGGAATGAGGAGGTTATTCCCACACATTAGCTAAACTAGGTTCGGATCACGGGTCAGACCGTCACTTAGCAGCTCATCAAGGGCCTTATTTAGCAGGGAAGGCAAGATTATATGCTTTGCATGCAGAACGCCGTTGAGCTTCTAAACAATCTCAAGGCTGGAATCTAAACGGTCCGCTCAGAGGACTCTAATCAGCCTGACACAATTACACTCTGTCACTCAATTATTGAAAAGGACCTTGTCAACAATGCAATGCCTTGCTGCTCCTTTAAACAACAGGAGATGCACTTGGTTATACCGAGGTGCCAAATTATGAATTTGCATGGGGTTGCAGGGACGTTTTGGTGCGTAAAATCGGAATGTTCTGCAAAAAACAATGCAGGCTTTGGGTGGATTATGACATTTTCTGCCGTGAACATGAAAGAGAAGTCAGTACTGCTTACGTCTAACGTCTCTGAAGTAGATGGTCTGTCGGTTGGGGTTGAGCAGTTGGATGACGGAGTCGTCGTTGTTTTTCACTCGGCAGCTGATGATGGCCGTCTCGCCCTCGACCACCGAGACGTTATTCGTCACCAGGTTCTGACCCTGCGCTGTAACCCAGAGAAAACACAATAAAATACAAGACTTACAACACAGAGCAACAGAAGTACAAATTCCATTCATTTTCATATGGGATAAACATGAAAACCTTTCGAGATGTATGAGAGCTTTGAAGTGGCTGAGTGATGACATAAGTCAGTGTGATTTAGATTTTTTTAATTGTTTAAAAATCAACCAGATTCCTAGTAAAGATAATCCTGGAAAGAAATCCACCAATCAGAGAAGACGCTGTTACCTTGGAAACAATAACACTGGCAGACATGATCAGCAAAGACTTCTCATTTACATGAAGCATTGCAAATTATGTAATCAGTTCCTGTACACTCTAAGCACAATAAAATTGTATTTGACATAAAACATATTGATATATTTAATTTTTATTTTATTGTTAACATGTTATCATTATACTTCATATATTTTTTATATTTATAAAATAATTGAATTAAGCTAATTTTTAAATTTATAAAATACAATATATTTGATGTTTATTGCACATATAAATTATTTTTAATATAGTTATATTTAATAATGATAAAACTATAAACAAATTTGAGGTTTACTGTTACAGATAACTTGATAACTAGCACTTTTTTTGTTTTATTACATAATAATTTAAATTGGTTTAAAAAAAGTTTAAGTATACAGTCTCATACCTTGTACCTTCAATTTTCATATACTTATTAGCTTAAAATTCAAGTTTGCCATGTTGTGATTAATCTCAGAGGTCACTGCTTTGGTTCATTGCTTTTTATTGCAGAACTGTTGAACTCCTTATGGAGAAAATGAAACAAACAAACAAAAAACAACAACACTTCCGGAGCCAAGGCAGCTAAAAAGTGGGCATCATTGCAATACCTGAATAAGGTTATTACATTTGGCATGTCTTATCACAATCTGCATTGTAATTACAATGCATCCACTGAACACTATTTTTCTCATTTGGCTGTTGCCTTGCTATTCAGTCAGAGAGGCAATCATGACACTCTTTTCTTAAGCACAAAAAACCCAGAAAATACTATTACAATTCAGATCCTGTTTCATTCTGCTCTTGTATCATGAAATTGTAAAAGTTGAGGCTGAAGCTGAATAGATGACTGCCATGATAATGCGAATCCTCATGAGGAATCCTTTGAATACTGATGTTTTTGCATAACACGTGCAGGGTGCATTTGCAGGGCGTGAAAGAAACTAAGAGTTATATGAAAATAAATGTAACAAGCAACAACGTTTGGACGCATGCGATGTTGAGATGTACTGGCTGGGTTCTCGGTTTGGACGTATTGATTTTACAGTGTTGTGTGTTTGTGGTGTGTGTGGAACACCCCGTCTACAAGACTGCAGCTCTCAGCAACCGAGAGGAGAAGGCTCGTAATTGCTGCTCACGGCAGAACTTTATCAAACCTCTCCATCTAAACACACGCTGATGGAAGCTAGCAATCAACAGTGGCTCTCAACAGCATAATACCCGGACCTGGACGACAAGCTCTGCCAACACACAGGCAAGCACAAAGTATCTGATACACTGCACTGCAAGCCAGTAACAGCTGATAATTAGAGGCTGCATCACTCCCTTATGGTTTACATTCAACATGGGGATCCATTATACCTTGCAGGTGAAGACAGCAGAAAAGCAAAAGTCACCTTGTTCTATATTTATATCCACAGAGCTGAGGGGCATAAAAATGACCAAAGAATGCTTTTAAACACTTTATCCTCACACGCAGAGTAAAACACTACTTTTAGCGCCGCCGTGAGACAACAGCCAATGCAAATTTGTATGGTTGAGCAATCAGACGCCTTCAAGCGCTCATGACATTTACAGAGACCCGAAAAACATCTTAATTTCCCCACTACAACTGTGACCAGCTCAGCCCCGCTTGTCCCAGTCAAGAACAACAAATCGGCGTGGAAAAACAACACATTTAGCTTGTCCTCCCGAGTTGTGAACGTTAGGGATGATAAAGCATTGTCCACTCCATGAAGGAGCATTAGCAGTCAGGCATGCTGGGAGTGTTTGTGAGACCACAGAGGTGCTGTGCTGCCACAATCCATGGCTGATGCTAAACACCCGTGAAGCCAAGTTTCACGCTGCCACAATCATGCCAAACAAAAGAAAGGAAAAAGCACTAGCTGGAAAGCCCGTCCGGAACTGAAAAAGCTCATAAGAAAGAGTTTCAGCACATGTACGTCTATAATGCCACTTTAAATTCAGCTGTTTTGGAAATGTTATGAAGCTCTGCTACATTAGCATAAGGTAATAAGTGATATTAGACTCTGGAAAGGTTTTTACAGACTGATGCTGGAACTTCTATAAGTGAGCCCCAAAAAAGTATTGGGACAATTAATAGGACAGTTCATTCGAGAATGAACATTGTCATCATTTACTCACCATCATGTAGTTCTAAACCTGTATGACTTTTAACTTACTATTCTCAAGGTGGTTTTCATCAATTATAATCGGTGCTCGATTATTAAGGGTTCTTACTGTTATCAATGTTGAAGCATGCTGCTTCACATCTTTTGTGGAAACTGTAATGCATTTTTTTCAGGATACTTTGATGAACAAAGTTCAGATCAAGAGCATTTATTTAAAATAGAAATGGAAGATTATAAATATCTTTCACTTTTTTTTTTATAATTTAAAGCCTGTGTAAAGCAAAATTAAATACGTGTTCTGAGTTAACCACCCAGCCAAATTTGACTGTCTGTGCATTCATAAAAAACAATTTTAACAATTAAACAATTTAGCCTATAATAGCCTACTATACATAAAAATAAAGCACTGCATAGACTTCACAATATAAATTAAACATAAATTGATTCATAACAAAATTATACAATATTCAGTAAAAAGCAGTGAATAATTCTCTCTTTTTCTTTTGTTTGATTAACAGATTATGACAGACAGCAGCAGGTTTATACAGTAGGATGCTGTCACGGAATGCACAGATACTGACTAGCATTCGATTACTTTTCAAACTGTTTATTTTCACTACAGATATAACTGAATGGCAGGAGACTGTATATGACAGTCACGTTACCTGATTCGACTGATTTGGATGTTATGTAGAAAGGGCGACAGCACACCGCATTAAGGAAAGGAACATTCATGTTTTCAACCGCCAGTTTAACCGTTGGCTAAAATCAAAAACGAAACTAAAATTAAATAATCGTTGAGAGCAAGGGGGCCCCCTGTTGTTTCGGGGGCCCTACGCAACCTGCGTACTTTCTGTATAAGGAGGATCGGCTGTGCCGCTACAACCTGAATGGATGCTCCCTCTAGCAGCTTATTTGGATTTACACAGCCATACATGTTTGGTAATATGCATTTACGTGACAAAGGCATACAGGTGCATCTCAATAAATTAGAATGTCGTGGAAAAGTTCATTTATTTCAGTAATTCAACTCAAATTGTGAAACTCGTGTATTAAATAAATTCAATGCACACAGACTGAAGTAGTTTGACAGTAACTCGCGATTGAGCGGGCGAACCACTGATGCTAATTGCGCTCTAGTTATTAGTTATTTTCAACATCAAGCGGCGCTGCGAAGACAGTATGAGATCAAAGTACTGCGAGAGCTATGAGAGAGCAGACGACTCTGCATGCTACCTGTCATACACCGATCCATCTGCACAGCGCTGCTTCAAGTCGAACACACTTCTTTATAGTGTTATGAGAGGGGCCATGCTCAGTGGCTCCGGTGCGTCACTGAGACATGATTTCAGCCCCGCCCAAAAAAATCCTGAACACAAAAATGGTGAAAAACTGTTTAACGGTCTAACTCCACAATTCAGTACTACATAGTTCACAGTCTTTGTAATGTGTTTTCAGCAATACATTTCTAACACTTATAATGTTTAGAATCCTCTGAATTGCCTTTACATGGACTTTCAATCCTTGCTGAATAAAAGTATTATTTATTTATTATTATTTTAAATTTTACCCAAACTTTTGAATGGTAGTGTGTCATGGTTCCCACAAACATGTTAAGCAGAAAAGATTGTTTAAAAATAATAATGAATATTTATTAGAATAATTAGAATAAATTAGAATATTTTCTGAAAGATCTTGTGATACCGAAAACTGGAGCAATGACTGCTGATCACAGGAATATTTGTCATTTAAAAATGTATTAAAATAGAAAACAGTTATTTTAATTTGTAAAAAATTTTCACAGTATTACTGTTTTTACTGTATTTTTGCCCAAAATATTTGGCCCAAAAGCCAAAGCGATCATATGGATAACTTCTTTAATCAACACAAACACACACGCACACACACACACACACACACACACACACACACACACACACACACACATTGGATAATTGGTAAAAAAAAAAAAAAAAAAAAAAACTAAATCTATGCTGCCATTACAAAGAAGTTGTAGGTGAACATGACAGATAGACTACAGTCACATGAACGTGTTTTATCTTTGCAATTGCAGTACCTCATCTACAATGTCATCTCAAGCAAGTCAAAATGTGATTGGCTAAAAGACTGATTGTGATTTAACTCATTTATTTAGCTTTCAAGGCCGTGACAGTCTGGTTCAGTTCTGCCCCATAACCCCACCAAGGTGTCCATCCTTCACGTTTACATCAAGCTCTATCTCTGACCTCTTCTCAACAGCGCTCATTATATGACTATTCCTGAAAACCAAGTGCACTGCCTATCTAAATACCATTTTTGCCATCTAGGTAGGCAGCTCACTAGGTTTTGGCACACAGCCAAATACATGAATGAAAAATAAATGTTCTTTATTACGAATATGCCATATAATAGGTGCTCAGAGGATTGGAGTGCTCTACAGGTTGAGTCACATGACTCAGAAATGTAATTAATGCATGTGAAGTTTCATGATAATAGCATATCTCTCATTCAAAGCCTTTTTAAGAACAGATCCCATGGGTAATATACACATTTCCTGAAGCGAGAACTTCTCAAGGTTGATACACATAAAAAGGTACTCTGGGAATGTTTTATT